TGTACTGTAGATGGATAGTTTAGTTGGGGACTTGGATGGATGGGAATGTGTCATGTCGTCATGATAGGATAGGTGACGAGAACGAGAGTACTACAGTGTCGAAAGGCTTATTGATGCAGGCTAAACACTAGGCCATTTGAAAACTAGTGTGTGGTCCAAGTACCTACATGTACTATTATACAAGCAGCAACGTTTCTGTCTAGCAGATGTTGCAAAGCCATCCAACACGGCCTTAACCGAACGACTCGTACTCCTTGCTCGTATCTTTTCATGCGTTCCCCGGCCTGTAAAGCCAGTTGCAGCCTCGGCACAATGCAGGCATTGTATCTGCACTCTCTTTTGTTGATCCTTCCGCATGCTTGTTGAGCCATGGTCCCCTTGCACGCTGCATGAAACACAAGAGAAGAGAAGAAGAAGAACAGCAACAACAACTCCACCCCAGGCAAAGCAAAGCGAGACAGAGCAAAATGGATCAATGCAACGCCCCCTCTTCTGGAGTATTAGGCGGAGACAACGGCACTTCAGCCGCGTTCCGCTCCACACAAAAAAGTGTGGGTGGTATTGGCCCACATGGGTCATCAAAAGAAGCCAGGATCCATTTTCAAAAAGTCCCTGCGACGGGTGGCATGTGGCATGTGGCCCGCCTGAAGCTTCTTTTTTTCGAGAGAGATTCGCGGGGCGGGAGGCTTGCACATGGCAGATGACTGGAGGATGACGTTTTCGTGCATGTGAGATGTGATATAGGTAGGTACTGTAGGATATGAGATAGGTGGGTACTGTAGGTACAAGCCAACGTGTAACGTCCTTGTCACATTCCACAAGTCTGCCAAGGCCGTGTCAGGTACTCATCATCCCGCCTAGTCCAGAAGTCATGTGATTGGACCCACTGTGGCGAAACGAAGCATCCTCAACCACACAATCTATCAATTTTGGCCGCGGTATTCGAGCTCAAGATGCCTCGCAGTGTTGAGTATTCGCGCGAGACGCGCTCTGCTATTATAACCCTTCGTTGTTAAGGTATTAGGTGGACTGCAATATTAAAACAGCTGCCTGTCTCGCCTACGGGGGCGCATATGTTTATGAAGAGACTCTTCAATCAAGCTGGTATAGCCCACACAGTATCGCCACGCTCAATACCACCCTGGCACGCAGTGGCAAACCACGTGACTTCTGGACTACCCGAGCGCATGAGTACCACTTGTTTTGTTTTGGACGTTCTGACAGGTGGGCATTACTCTGAGCCTATCTATGATACGACATGCAAGCTTGGTTGGAGGATACTCCTAAGCGTGGCTGTGTTTACGGGTGTACTAAGAGACGACTAGGAGACGTTGAGCCAGGCAAGTAACCGTATTTGCGCACCGTTGCGCCAGAAGTGCCATCATCAGATTGGCGTTCTTTCACCATGGCGCCATGGATGGCCCTGGACATGAAGCCTTTTTTTCTGGACCCCTTCTACCAGACGGCTATACTGTGTTGCAGGCGGACCTGATGAGATTTACCCACTGTGGGCTGAAGACTCGGTTGTAGTGGCTCGCCTATCCAAGTGGGTGTGTGGATAGGTCTTGGGCGTGAACGGTAGGGTGTTGATATACGAGGAAGATCTAGAACAAAGAAAATGGGAAACAAGGGTAGCACCTCGGCATGTCTTCTGTGCGTACTTTCGGAGATGGAGATGGAAGATACAAGGCGCATCGAAGGAAGCGAGGGAATTTTCGCTGTTGAGGATGCGGTGAAGATGTCTCAGATTGAGAGATGGGGTACAATGTAGTAGACTGATTCCTGGGTGTTCACTTCCGTATATGCCTGTCGCTGTACATATCATAGGCATGTATGTACTTGTAGCAGGGGAAGGGGGGTTTGGGTGAGAGAAGATCAGTGGTACTTGGAGCAATGAAGGCCTTGGTCTTGCGCACAAGACCGGTACCATACGGTGATCATGTGGGCCCATGATGCTTGCTCGAATGGCCCGCAGCCGAGCATTCGGCTCTTGCAGAGCGGAGCATTTGAATCTTGCAGCTTTGCACCCCTCTGCAGCTTGCATGATCATGCAACCTCGTCCTTGTCGATGCAGCATGTTGGGAGAGGAGGAGTTGGGAGTGAGTAGAGTCAGTAAGAAGGATACCAGCATGTTCTACCATGGTGGAGAGCCAGAGGATGATTGGCGATTGGCGATTGGCGACCGGCTTCACACGCCCAGTCCTCGGCCACCGGCTATCTTGTACCACAACGGGAACTTCAACCCCCTTGTACAGTGTAGGCACGAGCACGCCCAAGGGTCGCCAAAGGGTCGTGAAGCAGCTGAAGCCTGACCTAAAGCTCGCGCGCGGCGCTAATTGGGATTGCTGCACCATACTAGCATTGCATCCATCCCGTGTAGCGTGCACCCGACTCGGCCCCATGTCGCTTCAGCACTTGTGTGGGAACGAACCAAACGAATACCCCATGGCATAGACCACTCCATGGGCCGATTGCGAGGACACGAGGACCCGCTCCGATGTCATTTCCCTCTGTGGTGTTGCGTCGCCATCACGCACGGCAACGGCCCTATACAAACGAGTCGCCGCGTCGCTGTTCCGCTGCTTCCTGCACGCAGTTCATTCATGGAGAGAGTTGGGGCCTACCGGTACCTGTTGTGCATTCAATCGTCAGCGCCACCTACCCTACCTCTCCATTGGCCCGCACCAGATTGCGTCACTTCCCCCTACGCTGCTCGGCTGCTGAACATTGACTTTTCGCACTCGACACTCACCACACGGCATTTATTGTTATCGCATCGCCATTTGCAGACCCACGGTAAGATCTACCATCTCCCTTGCTGATTACCGATGGACATGTGCTCTCGACAGGGGTTCCTGCACACTCTCCCGTCAATCGCAATCAATTGGCTTTTTGCCTGCGACGCTCTCTGCAACCACCGCATCCGCAACCGGCTCCACGCATTTCTCATCTAACAACCCGCAGGTCGCTCGACGCTCCGCATACATAGCACCCAGGACATCGCACCTCCCTCGACTGCGAGTCTTGTCCTGCAATCTAGCCCCCAATCGCTGGCATGAAATACGGAGACACTCTACGCCAGAGGTCCATACCAGAATGGGGCCACTGTGAGTACCGCACCCACCCAGGCTTCAGAATCAGCGGCAAAGGTTGGCGACTGACCCAACGGGCTACAGATAATATCGACTATGACTATCTCAAAGACCTTATTAAACACCAGACCACGCCAGGCACCAACAAAGCCGTATCCATACCCGGACAGGGCGGCAGTTCGGAGGAGGCGTTCGGGAATCATTTCTTGAGGGTCTTGCAGGCGCAACATGATCGCATCAATCTATTCGTGCGGAGTAAGAGCGGGGAGATTGAAAGACGGATACAACATATAAACAAGTGCCTGGAGGATCTACAACACAAAAGGGTCAACTACACGCCCGGCGCCCAGTTGCCTGCACGGCTGGTCGAGAGATATGCAAAGATTGATGCAGACGTGACCAAGTAGGGCCCACGCGTCGTAGTGTTACCACGCAGACTATGTGCTAACAGAACACAGGACCGGCGAAGAGATCCGCTCTCTGTCTCGATTCCAAGTAGTGCAGCGGACCGGGTTCACCAAAATTCTCAAAAAGTATAAGCGCTGGACAAAGGATCGCGAGCTGAGCCATGTGTTTAAGAAGGAGATTAGTAGTCAGCCGGATAGTCTATTCCAGCTGGACCTGAGCTACTTGCTCGACCAATACATTGACGTTCTAGACGCCCTGCGCTCCGTGTTCGACACTGATGGCACTCCCGCGGCGTCTTCGGACGGGGCTAATGGCTCTGCAGCACGTCTCTTCAAGACTCTTGAAAAGGGAGAAGAGATTGACTTCGACGTGGCCCTGACAACAGTACCGCTGGGTGCAAAGGGGGAGAAGGCAGTGTATTGGATACACCCTGATCATATAGTTGAAGTGCAGGTCCTGTTGCTCCAACAAATGCGCCTCTACACTGGCAGCTCGAAAGTAGCATCACGGGTCGGGTCATCCCGAGGGCCACCCAGTCGACGCCAGTCTTTCATGAACCTCGGTATTGAAGACGATGTTGGTCTCGTGGTCTTGGACCATGCTGAAGCTTTTGCTTTCAAGCAGAACACGAGCACGATAGGGTCGAGCGAGGAAGCAGAAGGCATAATTGGCGTCAAAGCAGCCGGCCACATACGATATGTTGCATCTGGTAAGGCAGCGGTTGTGTTGAGCACTGAGTCTAATGGGCAGGGACAAGTGTCGACGGGGCTTAAGACAGCGAAGATGGAACGAAAGGCATTACAGACACTACTGGACACACCAGCAGCAGCAAGCGCTCCTGAAAGGTTTAATGATCACAAGGAGCAGGCGAACAGGTTCTCGAAAAACGACTATGCCGAGATCCAGCAGTGGTTGAAGGACCACCAATCCACCAAGCCCATTGCGGGTGCCATCTCGAAGCGGACGCGATTTGTTGGCCTACACAACAATGCTGCTGGCGGCACCTGGGCAGCCTTGGATCGGGATGTCTACCTCAGAGAGTCGCTGCACAAGGACCTAGAACAAGAGGACTGGGTTTCCCAAGCTCGATCTCAAGCGACCAAATTTCCGCATGCCATTTTGGAAGTCCGGAAAGAAGGTCGGCAGGCGTCGAGTCTTATCCAGACGCTCGACCGCAGCCATCTTGTCGAACGTGTCCGTGGGTTCTCGTTGGAAGCACACGCTGTGTGGGCATGCTGCAAACCCGACGCCATGTCTCCCCCTCTTTGGATCCCTCTTCTCGACAAGGACATTCGTAAATTACCAGAGCCTGTGAGAAGACGTAGCCGGAGGACGCGGACTACCAGCAACAGCGGTTCCCAACCCCCTGCCTCGCCCGAAGCAACCTCGACGTCCAACACTTCTTATGATGGGCAGTCTAGCCCCATTGCATCTCGCAATGGCGAATCGTCTGCGACCTCGGCGCAAGACTTTGTTGATCCACCCAATCTGCAAGCGTTCAGGAAGAAGAGTCGGAAACCTTTTGCAGACTACCCACCACCCATCTCTCGAACAGAGCCAGAGCCAGAGCCCCAACGCTACTGGAATGAATACGACCACCCTGAGGATGAAGAGACGGGATACTACATCTACGTTGACCCCAACGCGTCTGTCAAATTCCCTGGTCAGGAGCTCATGGAAGCATGCCTGCGGAAAACGCGCAGATTGTTCGGCATGCGCGAAAGACCAGCACGAGGTTCCTTTTCCGGAGACGAAGACGCATCCTCAGACGACGACGATGACGACACGGTCGACGAGTCTCCCATGGTCACAACCAGAAATTACGGCACCATTTCTTCGCACAACCTCCGCTCATCCTCCAATGACGGCTACTTCAGCAGCCTCTTCCGCTCCCTGCGCGACCCGCGCCATGATGCAAACATTCTGCAGGAACGTCGCTCCCTACTCAGCGAATTGGAAACGCATCAACACAAGACGGAGATGACGAAGTTGCGGTTCTATTCTACCAGTCTGGCGACTGCCATGATCATCGACGTCATTCTGGGAATCATGATTTGTACGAGCCGCAAGAAGGAGCGTGGGGTCGTGGATTTGGTGGTGCTGTTTGGCACCATTGTGACGCTGATTTTGTGTGCGGTTGGGGTTTTGAGCATGAAGACTCGGCGCGAGAGATTGGGGTGGGTGCATCAGGGTGTGGTGTTGTTTATTGCGGCGGGTGTGGTGGCGTTGGATGTGGTTCTGCTGTTGTGGGTGTTGAGGGTTTGATTGGGGTAAAGCAGGGTATTCTTTTGGTGCGAGGAGGGCGAGGAGGAGTGCTGGGGTATAAGGTGACCAAGGATGTTTTTATTTGACTTGGCTCGATTTGCTCTGGTTAGGTTGTTTTGTTTATTTCTTTGCGCAACTCTTGGGATAGCGATGGCGTGATGGATCCCGGTTCGGTGGAGTCTGGGGTTTGGCTTCTCGGGTGCCGCACCGCTGTTGCTTTAAGTCGTCGTTTGAGATGGGACAAAAACAGTGGAACATTTCAAAGTTGTGCAAAGCTGTTTGTTGCACTTTTGTGTGTGTGACGTACTTTTGAATGCATGCTTACTATAGTAGGGCATCGGATGCTATCATGATGGTTTGACATGCTGACTTCTTTGCGGCCTGTCATTGGCCAATTCCCTCAAACCCACAGCCCCGGTCGCCGGCCTTCTCCAGTTTCTCGGCTATACTGGTCGTGTGCTTTGCTTACCTGCGTACGTACTGGCCGCGGACCGAAGTCGCTTTCCTCCGATTTTATTTTGTGAAATGCGCCGTTGCTGAACTTTCTCCCTGTTGTCGTGTTTTCTTTCTCCACGCCACGGACCGGTCTTTTCACCATGCGGTCGCAGATGCTACGGGTTGGCCAGATGGCTAATTGTAGGGTGAGTGTTGTGTTTTACTGCTTTTGAGGGAAGTTTGGTTGGAGTTGGGGGGAAGAAGTCGGGGACTTATGATGGGAGCTGCTTCTATCCATGCACTGGAGTACGGCAATTCATACCTGACAAATTTACTGACATCCGTTCATTAGCCACATCTCTCTACCTCGCTCCGCATACCTACCCTCACATCACGAAGATGCCTCGCAACATCCCACGACCTACCCTCTGCCCGCTCCACCCAACTCGCCTCCCGCACCCCGCCCTACCCTCTCCTCCTCTCGCGCCTCGCAAAAGTACGCCGCGTGCTCGGGTCCTCGCGACACCTGACTCTTGCGGAGAAGATTCTATATGCACATCTGGACAACCCAGAGGAGTCGCTGCTGAGCAACACCAATGGTGGCAAGGACATTCGGGGCCAAGCAAACCTGAAGCTCAAGCCTGATCGTGTGGCAATGCAGGATGCAAGTGCACAGATGGCACTGCTGCAATTCATGAGCTGTGGACTGGGCAAGACGGCTGTGCCTGCAAGTATACACTGCGATCACATGGTCGTCGGCCACACGGGTGCGGATGCGGATTTGCCAAAGTCGATTGCCGAAAATAAAGAGGTGTTTGATTTCTTGGAGTCGGCGTCGAAGAAGTATGGTATCGAGTTTTGGCCGCCAGGTGCGGGCATTATTCATCAGTCGGTTTTGGAGAATTACAGTGCTCCTGGCTTGATGATGCTTGGCACAGACAGTCATTCGCCGAATGCTGGTGGACTGGGTGCGATTGTCATTGGTGTTGGGGGTGCGGACGCGGTGGACGCACTCGTTGATGCGCCGTGGGAGCTGAAGGCGCCTAAGATTCTGGGTGTGAAGCTCACTGGCGAACTCAGCGGGTGGGCGTCGCCCAAGGATGTCATTTTGAATTTGGCTGGCCAGCTTACTGTTCGGGTATGTCTGGCAATTACTCGTCCAGAAGGTCCTCTTGCTGATGTATGATGTATAGGGCGGCACTGGTTTTATTATCGAATACTTTGGGCCTGGTGTGCAGACGCTGAGCTGTACCGGCATGGCAACCATCTGGTAAGCTTCACGACGTTGGCACAAGCATGCTTGAGACTAACTTGCACAGTAACATGGGCGCTGAAGTCGGCGCAACGACCTCCCTCTTCCCTTTCTCCCCAGCTCACGTTCCATATCTTCAAGCCACACATCGAGGACCAATCGCTGAGGCTGCCCAAAAGATTGCCGATTCCCCAATGCAACAGAACCTGCTCCGTCCTGACCCCGAAGCTGCCTATGACAGGGTTATTGAGATCAATCTTTCGACTCTCGAGCCGCATATCAACGGGCCTTTCACTCCTGATCTCTCCACCCCTCTATCCAAATTCAAGTCTGTCGTTGAAGAGAAGAATTGGCCCAAGACGTTTGGCGCAGGTCTTATCGGTAGCTGCACAAACAGCTCATACCAGGACATGACCAGATCCGAGGAACTTGTCAAGCAGGCTTCAGCAGCTGGTCTCAAGCCAAAGGCAGACTTCTTCATCACTCCTGGAAGCGAGCAGATTCGGGCGACCTTGGAGCGTGATGACACTCTTTCAACATTTACATCTGCTGGGGGTACAGTTCTAGCCAACGCATGCGGTCCTTGCATTGGCCAGTGGACCCGTACCGACGGCGTGAAGAAGGGCGAAGCCAACGCCATTCTCACCTCCTACAATCGCAACTTTCCCGGCCGCAACGATGGCAATCGCGCGACGATGAACTTCCTCGCCTCCCCCGAACTCATCACCGCCATGACCTACTCTGGCTCCACAACCTTCAACCCCATGACCGACAGCATACCCACCCCCTCCGGCGAAGCCTTCAAGTTCTCCCCACCCAAAGGCTCCGACCTCCCCTCCGCCGGCTTCGCAGAGGGCAACCCAGCCTTCCTGCCCACCCCCGGCGTCCCCGATCCCAGCGTCTCCGTCCTCGTCTCCCCTACCTCCACCCGCCTCGCCCTCCTCGACCCCTTCCCCGCCTTCCCCCCAACCGAGCTCTCCAACCTCCGCGTCCTCTACAAAGTAAAAGGCCAATGCACAACCGACACCATCTCCGCCGCCGGCCCCTGGCTCAAATACAAAGGCCACCTGCCCAACATCAGCGAGAACACACTCATCGGCGCCGTCAACGCCGAAACCCTCGAAGTGAACACCGCCTACGATCTCGACGGCAGCCCGTCAACCATTCCCGCCCTCGCAAAGCGCTGGCGCGACCGCGGCATCGAATGGCTCGTCGTCGCCGAACACAACTACGGCGAGGGCTCGGCCCGCGAACACGCCGCCCTCCAACCTCGCTACCTCGGCGCCCGCATCATCCTCGCCAAATCTTTTGCTCGCATCCACGAGACTAATCTCAAGAAACAGGGCATCGTGCCGCTCACGTTTGCAGACGAGTCCGACTACGACGCCCTCGCTGCTTGTGACGAGGTTGCTACCCGCGGCCTCTTGGATGTTCTGCGCAATGGCGGTCAGGGCGAGGTCGAGCTGCTGGTTAGGAAACGCGATGGTGCGCTCAGGGTGGTCAAGACGAGACATACGCTGTCAAGGGATCAGACGGGTTTTATTCTCGCTGGCTCGGCGTTGAATCTTTTGGCTGCAAAGGGGAGGGAGGCTTGATTGGATTTGGATCTGGATTCGAATGTTTATGCCCCTAGGACGGCGGGTGGTGTGAATCACAAGAGGAGGATGAAAAGTGTAGGATCGAGGTCGGAGGGGGTCTTTTTTTTTTTTTGCTCATTCACAGGCGTTTGGCGGTGGTGTCTGTGGCTTGGTGAGATGGGATGATGGATGTGATGGATGTATTTACTTTCACGATATTGGCTGGATTTGGGGTGGTGCTATGCTGTACTGCAGGAGACTAACTGTGTATTGCATATCCGCTCGTATATCATACCGTGAAATAAACCAGCACCTTGGATCTTTTGATTCCAATCAAGACGCTACTCGAGGACGTAGGAGAGCAGGAGAGCCGTAGTAGATTAAAGGAGATTAGAGTAGAGTGCAGTAAGTTCACCAAGTCCACATCAAATCCAGCATTGTCTTTTTTGGTCAAGATACATCATCGTCTCGCTCTTCATGGTACATGAACCGAATTTCACCAGCCGTATGTGGCCAGCCCCTGGAAGATATGGTCAGAGTATTGACCCACGTCTCCTGGACCTTTTCCTTCTGGTCTCGTCTGCCCTGGCATCCATCCATCAATCGAATGAAACCCCCAGCAACAACCTCAAGCTAAGCACCCGCCACACCCCTGATATTGAACCCGCCACCACCATGGCCACTCGCCGATCCCCTGATACGAATCCCCTCCTCACTCCCTCCCCGTCCTCTGATGCGGAATTCCCCCTCATCTCTCGTGATCCGATCTGCAAGGCCCCTCTTCGCAGGCTGAGCCGGTTCCGAGAACTCGCTGGCCCAGGGATCTCGATCATCATTCTTGAGTCGTCCCCACATGGACCCGGAATCATCGTCGTCGTCACGTGTGATGCGATCGACTAGTGAGCGCTTCGCCTGCGGAACAACAGGTTGGCCATCTTTGGTCATGCGCGAGAGGAGCGAGTTGCCGCCGCCGCCGCGCGAGGCGTCAAAGGCGTCGGAGCGGCGGTGGTTGCCCATAGGTGAGCTCTCGATGTATTTCGAATCCTTCTGCCAACGTCCTCCGCCCGTCGGACCAGATGTGCGGTCGTAGTTTGCGCGATCGTGGGTCCAACGGTCCCCGCTGGGCTCGCGGCGGCGTCGCAGGTTTGTGCGGCTGCGGCTTCTACTGCGGTACCGGCGCCGTACTGTGTGACTGGATTCTTCTGCGAAGCCGAAACGGCCGTTGCCTTCTTCGTCTGTGGCGGGGGAGGCAGAGCGACCCCGTAGGCGGCCAAAGCGCGATTCGTCTGGAGACTGTGCACGGGGGCGGTACGAGTCGACATCTGCATTATTGGTGAGACGACCAGGCTCGCTGAGTCTGCCGTTTCGGCCGCGGGGGTCACGACCTCGCATTTCGTGCGAGTCACGATTATCGCGAATATCACGAGAGTCGCGGCCGTTGCGGCGTGGCCGTCTTCGATCAGCGCCAGAGTCTTCCATTGAGTCGTCTCCACTACTACCCCCAAGTTAGCAAATAACCATATCGATGGGGAACATGTGGCGCTCACCTGAACCGTCTCCTGTTCCTCGAGCCAGCATCCGGGTCATCGTAGTCTAGAAATTCCTTCCTTGGTGGTGGTCTCCGCCTAGGTTCCCTCTGCCGATTTCCAGCCACATCAGGATTGCGCTGATAATAATTACTCCTCGTTGCCGCGCCCTTTGGTTTCTGGTCCCCCGCATTGGTCTCTCTGATCGTCAACACACTATCCGGCTTCTTTGAATAGGGCTTGGCCTTTCTAGGTGCCTGCGCAGCTAAAGAGTTTACATTGCCCACCTCCGGGTGTGTGAGGATGCCCAGTGCCAGGGCAGCGTCGCCAGCGGTATAGAACTCTAGGTTCACAGAGTTGTCGCTGACCCAGCGTAATTGCTTGACGCGTGGCTCCGCACCGCAGTGCTCCATGGCATAGTACAGAGGATCGTTGGGGTCAAAGTCGCTGACGCCTTGGAGGTTGAGAGATTCGGGCCATGGCTGCTCAATCTTGATGTCTTCTAGGTATGCTTCTGGTATCCCATCTTTTGCGCTGGCATTTTGCTTTGAGCATGTTAGTAGGATACTCTACGCGTCGCTACCTCCCGCTGTTAGCTCTGGAGTTGTTACCTCGATTATCTGCCGCGGCTGCTGCACAACTGGCTCAACGTCGGCGCCAACATCGATATCAATGTCGTAGGCGACATCTGACATTTCGGTATCCATTGCCGCGGTTATGCGGTGTTTGTCTGTCTAGAGATGAGGTTTGCACGGAAAGGATAGTCGAGTCGTGGAGCTGATGGTGCAGGCGCGGTCAAGAGCCCGAACACTAACGTGATCACGTGCCAATGATGCTACATCGGAGGCGTCTCAGAGTTAGGTCTAGCGCAAGTATCGTGTTCAACCAGTCCCAACTTTACCAACGAAGATATAATTGCCGTCCGAACATACTGTTATGAGTATAAATTTATTAAGGAAAGAACTCAACCCAGAACCAATAGTCATAGGCTCCCCTGAATACTGCTACTTAGGTCAGACACCTCCGCATTTAAGACAACTGCCTGACCTTGCACCTTCACATAAGACCATCCACCATGGCCAATCAAATCTCAGACTGTTCAGCTCTGGTCCTCCAAAGTAAAGGTCCCTGTCTTAGTTATGAGATACTCGTTCACCGCTACATCCTTTCCAGACTCCTTTCCATAACCACTCTGTTTAATGCCACCGAACGGTGACTCGGCCGCCGATGAGTTACCTGTACGCTGTCAGCCTTGATCATGAACGATTTTTCTCCCAGATACTTACCCGTATTTAGTCCAATCATACCCGCTTCAAGGCTTTCAAATAGCCTCCACATACGATCCACGTTCTTTGTGAACAAGTAAGATGCAAGACCCATGCTCGTATCGTTCGCGGCCTTGACAACTTCATCTTCTGTTTCAAACTTGATGAAAGTACTTATCGGCGAGAACACTTCTTCCTTCGCAATGTCCATGTCTGGCGTGACGCCCGTGATGACGGTAGGTTCGAAGAAGTAGCCACCATTGTTCGCGACCTTGTTCCCACCAGTATGTATCTTTGCGCCCTTCTTCTTCGCATCTTCAACAAGAGAAAGCGCCTTCTCCACACCACGCTCTGTAGTGACTGGCCCCATAGTAGTCTTCTCATCCGCGCCATGTCCAACCACGATCTTTTGCACTTCTGCATTCCAGCGCTCGAGGAACTTGTCGAAGATGCCAGATTGTACATATATACGATTTGCAGTAATACATGCCTGTCCCGCATGTCGATACTTCAGTGCAAAGATCTGCGTCAATGCTTGTTCGATATTCGCATCGTCGAAAATCAGCACCGGGCAGTTCCCACCCAGCTCCAGCGTTACCTTCTTCAAGCCATCGGCGCAAATCTTTGCAACTAGTTTCCCAACCCTCGTCGAGCCTGTAAACGTGACCTTGCTCACCAGTTCATGTCTGCAAAGCGCCTCACTAAGCTCAGGCGTCTTATCAAGATCCGTAGTGAGCACGTTCAACGCGCCCTGGGGGAAGCCCGCTTTATGAGCCAAATAAGCCAGAGTCAACACCGTAATTGGCGTCTCAGGGCTCGGTTTCACAATCATCGTACACCCAGCCGCAAGCGCAGCACCCGCCTTCCTCAATATCATTGCAATAGGGAAATTCCACGGTACCAGCGCCGCTGTCACACCCAGTGGTTGCTTGATCGTGAAGATCCTGCGGTTTGGCAACGCGGGCGTGAAAACAGAGCCTTGGATCCTTTCTGCCTCGCCGGCAAACCACCACGTGAAACCTGTGGAATAATCGATTTCCCCGTACGCCTCTGAGCGCGGTTTCCCAGTCTCATAGACCAGCATCGTGGCGATATCCTCTCTGTTTTCTTTGATGAGGGCATCCCATCTGTACAGCATTTGGGCACGTTGACGAGGGCTGATTTTCTTGTATTCGAGGAAAGCAGCGTGAGAGGATTGGACAGCAGCATCAACGTCCGAGGCGTCATTTGTGGGGCAGCATGTCCATGGTTTGCCTGTACCGGGGTCTAGATGCTATCAGAAAGCGAGTCCACTGTTGTTTTGTAGATGACGGACCGACGACGTCGAAGGTCTTGCCTGAACTGGCTTTCACCCATTCGCCATTGACGAAGGAGAGGTTATGGAGGAGATTTGGGTTTTGGAGCTATCGCGGGTCAACTGAAATTCCTTCCTGAATGATTGCTCGATTTGATTCACCTTGAATGGAAGCTCGTACTGTCCTGAAGAGCCCATTTTGGCAAATGCTTCAAGATGAGATTCTGGGGTTCTTCTCTACTAAGTGATGAGTATAAACGTCTTGGGGGCAAGCAACTTAGTATCCTATATACCGGTAAAATAGGAAGCGTACGCACCCTTTACATCTCAGCAGTTCAAAGTAAAGACGTACACCGGTAGGTAATCCGTGTTGTCCAAAAGCAAAATCACATTTGTCCCCGACCAAGCTATCATACCGGTACCCAGGGTCAATGACATCGCTTTCCCCGCCCCACTTCCGTCTCCATCTCCATATAGCCTATGCGCCCCTCTTCCTCGAATCACCAACCCACCTCGCTTAGGCTACCGGTAACCCCAACACAGGCATCCGAAGAACGATCCGAGAAGCCGGGGGGAAGACTATCGGTGTCATCGGAGAAGATGGTATGCGATTGGTTCAAGCATCGGTGGTCCTCCAACACAAAGTTGCGCCCCCTCATACTCTACCCCTCATTGTGATGGCGTCCGCATTACGGCATGTATGTTCGGGCGGGAGTAGAGGGTGATTGGTAGTATGGATTGTGGGTAGGGCGTGATGGGTGTTGCAAGCGACGGGGAGAATCTTGCGATACTTCTCTAAACTGGTTTGGATGGTTGTGACTACCCTCCACGCTACCTACGCCATCACCTCGTTCGACATCTACAGTATTCAAAGTTACTCATATACTACAATACAATCAAACAGATTTAAACAACAAATTCATCATCAAACACCATCATGGGTCGACTAGAAGGAAAAGTCGCAATCGTCACAGGTCAATCTTCTTACCCCCCCCCCCCCCCCCCCCCCCCCCCACCCCCAAGTGCCTTCCGCCACCACACCCCTAACACCATCCAGGCGCAGGCTCAGGCTTCGGAGCCGGCATAGCCAAAGCCTTCGCCAACGAAGGCGCCAAAGTCCTCGTCTGCGACATCAACACAACCGGCGGCTCAGCAACCGCAGCCACCAACCCCTCATCCCTCTCCTTCCACCAAATGGACGTGACCAAGTCCGCAGACTGGACCGCCACCATGGACGCCGTGATGCAGAAGTTTGGCCGCTGCGACATCCTCGTCAATAATGCGGGCTGGTCCTATGTCAACAAGCCGACGGTCACGGTCACCGAGGACGAGTTTGACCGCGTGTTTAATATTAATGTCAAGGGTGTGTATTTGGGGTGTAATGCGTGGGTTGAGCAGGCGATAGAGCGCAAGGAAGGCGGAGTTGTAATTAATATTGCGAGTGTGGGGGCTACGAGACCGAGACCGGGTTTGGTATGGTATAACGCGAGTAAAGGGGCCGTTTGGAATGTAGGTTCTTGAGTCTCCAAATCCACTTGGCAAGATTCAATGTTGACGACAATGAATAGGCGACAAAGGGTCTGGCGGCTGAGTATGGTCCGCATCAGATTCGTGTGGTGAGTATATGTCCGCTTGTCACCGCAACTGGGTTATTCTCGGCTTTCACAGGAATGGAGGATACGCCTGAGAATAGGACGAAGTTTACGTCCAATGTGCCCATGGGGAGGATTGGTGAAGTGGATGATGTGGTGAACGCTTGTATTTTCATGGCGTCGTCCGATGCCAAGTTCATCACAGGGGTCAATCTGGAGGTAGATGGTGGGCGTTGCATTTAGTACTGATTCAAAAAATAAGACAAGTCGTGTCTTCTGTGCAAGACTGAACAGTCAATGCATGTAAACGACCGACGCACATATGACCTTCTCACCAATCCCGTCTGTACATCAACATCCATCTTCCGAATTCATCCCGGCCCTTCAGATCTCCGCATACTCAGCTTCACCAGCGTCCCTCTTTCCCTGCACTCAGTTCAATCATAAAATTATAGATTTTCCTGGTATTCAGGTCTCCATATCTTCGTCTTCATCTGTATCACCGTCCTCCGCCAGCAACCTCTCAATCTCCCTCTTCTGCTTCGCAGTCTCCTCATCAACACTCTTCTGCTCAACTCCCTCATCAATCATTCCTGAAAAGGAAACTGCGCCCTCCCTCTCCTGTGCATCCAACTCAATACCCTTATCCACCGTAACACCCCAGCCCTCCCATACACTACCTCTATCAACAAGTGTCATAGGACCGCGAGTTGCGCGCCAGCGCTTGGTAAGTTCAGACTCCCTGTCGTATGAGGTAGACATGATGGAGTAAATGAGTTCGAGTTTAGTGTAGACGGCTCTATGTGACGCTACGGTCTTTTCATTACCAGCAATGGGTGTTCCCATATAGGTGAGGCCGGCAGGGTAGGATTCGAGAATTCTCCAGGCCTCTGATTGAGCGCGGCGGCAAACATTCTGCCATATTCCCATGGGTAGGAAGATGGCGCGCGAAAGGACTATCTTACCGCTTCCTGGGATGCTGTGGCCAAGGAGGAGGACATCGGTTTCCCGAACACCATTGTCGCCTAGTGCAACGCCACCTGGCCCAAGGGTATTTCCCGGGCGTATAACTTTGGGAAGGTATATCAGCACTGAAATTTCTTCTTGCGTAGAAGCAAATATTGGGGTTTTGTGCTGGGCTGTGCCACGATCTGTCCCAAGAGCTAAGAGGGGGTTGGCAGAGACAGGTAACGCGTGAGGTTGTGAGGTTCGCGATATGCCGGTCCGAGGAGACGTGTTCCGAGGATCGAGATTGGATACAGTTGGGTGTTGTGAATTTGAAACGGTATTGTGAGGATGCTGATTCCATGGCGTAACTGAATTTGGAGGCGGCAGTCTTGGTGTTAGTGGATGCACTGATGCTTGCGAGACTGATGGTAGCGGTGATGGCGATGGCAACCGAGGCAACTCTGGCAAAAGTGGTCGAGGAGCGAGGGTATGTTGTTGTTGTTGCTGTGCGCTTCCAGGACCCTGAGCGTTGTTCCTCTGCATAGGACCGCCGCTTCCTAGGGTTCGCAAGTAACTCAGGCTAATTGGGTCACTGGAGATACGACGCTGTGGAGGTGGTTGACTTGCTCCTGGTGCTAAATTCGAGTATGATGTCGGCATGGGAGCTCTAATCGGAAGTGTCATACTCCTCTGCCTTTCAAAGCCTAGAGGAGGCTGAAAAGATAGGGACGGCATCGCAGGTTGGTGCGCATGCGCTATGGCAACAGACGGGGGCGTTTGCATAGGACCAGGTGGATGTTGAACTGATATCGATGTACTCGATGCAGCTACCTCTGGTGTATCTATGGTAGGCGGTCTTGCATTAGTATCCCCTGTAACATAACTCTGGTGCATCATCTGGATCACTCGTTGGCGTTGTGTCGGTGTAAGGTTGTCGACGAAGGTTTCAATCTGTTGGGGATTCCAAGAGGGGCCATCTGCTGTAGTCTGAGGAATTGTGCCTGGATTAGTAGATGCCTGCATGGTATCGAAAGATCGAGTGACGAATTGTCGAGGATATGGCATACCGGGAGCTTGAGGTGGTGAATATGACTCTTGACACCCATTGGCCTCGGAGAGTGAACTAGTCCGACGCAGAATCAAACCTGCGGCAGACTGCCTGTTGAGCGACTCCAAATCGCTCACGCTTGCAAACAATGTGCTCTTCAGTCTACCCACTAGAGGCTTCGGCACAATGTTGATCCTGTCACCACCATGTGCACGACCTATCTGCAGCTTTTCCAGTATGTCCATCTCCATAGCCGGACGGGGAGTGTATGATGGCGTTGCCGGAATGAGCGGCACTCCTGTAGGGTCTGCGACTGTGACATTGCTACGAGCAGCTACCCTAGCCTCCAAAGCCAATCTGTTGCTGATCGCAGCCTCCGTGTGCTTCGCCCGTACCGCCATTTCTTTCTCCTTTTCAATATAATGAGCTTGTGCAGCCTTTGCATCCTTTTCATAGTTTTTGAGGCCATCCCTTTTGCTATCGCACGGGGTTTCTCTTACGGATTCCACTTGGAGTCTCTTGTAGTTAGTGATTTGCTGGACCGTGAGCCCCGCCTCGATGAGGATATTGAAAGCTCGTTGACGTGACTTGAAGCATGCAGCGTAATATTTAATTCTTCTCCCTGGATTCGTTGGGATGTTCAAAAGACGAGGGATGGGTTGGGACATGTGCGGCGGCTCGATGCCGTAGTGGACTTCGCGGTATTGGAGTCGCTCACTCAACTCGATTTCCTCTTCAAATGCTGCAATGTCGGGTTTTTCGCGGTTGTTAATTTTCGAGTTGGTCTCCTCATTGGTCGAGGGCTTCATTACACCAGCGAGGACTGTTGGTTCTATGTCTTCTGGGACTGTGCTATGATGATCTTTCTGCTTGGGATCCATAGAAATAATCAGTGGGTGGTACTCGAATTCCCATAGGCTGGGAATCTCCCATCTCATTGCTGCCTTCAAGGCCGTGCCGTCTCCTTGATAGAAATCAATCCATCGATACAGGAATTCGATGAAGTTTGGGACAAGCCGACTCTCCGCCTGTACGATGTCAATGAGGCATCGCAACATCTCTTCCCGCAGTAAGAGTTTAGGGTTGATGATGCGTCGCTCGACAATGTTGAGAAACGGTCCTTTGCATTCTTCAGTCTCTGGCTTGGAGGGAGCCTTTAGCTGTTGTGCGTCGAGGCGGGGCTTCTTGGATGATGGCGGTAAAGCAAGTCTTTGCTTGGATGGTGCGGCTTCAATTTTCCACTGCACACACCATGTCCAGAGCTCTTCACTTTTCTCGCGAGCTCTACGCTGTGTGAGTTCTTGCACGAGCGCCATACAAACATTGAGATTCGTGCTCATGCTGTAAACAAGCACAGTTTGCTTGTATTCCGTGTACGGTACGAGAGTCGGAAGGGGTTCGACATTACCAATGACGTCCTGTAGTTCGAGGTAGCGATCGTCAAGCAGATCGAGAACTGTACCAAAGGACGCCATGATCTTGTGAAAGGAGATGTGTAATCGAGATGAGGGGAATCGTACACTTGCTAAATGTTGAGAGTGGGTAGAGTCTTACAGAAAACAGGCCGAAAGACATCGTTGCTTTGGGATACGGAACAATAGCAAAGATGAGAGCGGCGTTGTGCAAACGCTCGTGCATATGAAGGTGAAGGTGAGACTCGCAAGTAAAAGACAGGGTAGGAAAGAACATTGGCTGCGCACCTTCCATCAGCTGTGCGCAACTACAGCTAGCACGTATACAAAGCAATACAATCGCAAGCCATGGAGTCTATACAAGCAGAAAAAATGTACCGCTGCAAATGTCCGTCCTCCCTTATACACTCAGTTGTCGTAGCCGCCTTGGCCACCGCATCTCCGACCAACTGTACACCAAGCTCTTCAAATCAACCATAGGCCCGTTTTGACGTCTGTGATTCACTTCGTGCTTCCTTTGACCCTCTCCAGCATCGCCAGCACGCCATCCTCCCCCCTCTCCCTGACCCTCCTCCAATCCGTTTCATACACCTTCTTCACCAGACCCTCAAGCTCTCTATTCCACCGATCCTTCGCCATCTCCGCCAAGCCCATGGGAACTTCGCGATATGCAGGCTCCGGCTCTGGTTCCTTGGGCTCGTATAATCCGGCCAGGACTTGACGCTGTTGTCGTAGTAGCGCAGCTTGCGTGGTGCGATTCTGAGTATGTAGCGAGATGGTGAGGTATAGGACGGCAGAAGTGAGGGTTACACCTCCGAGCTGGGGATGAGAGTTAGCTGGAAAAGCGCAGACAAGGCAAATTGTTGGCTGGGTAGAGGCGGGGTGGGGCGACATACGAAGCCAGTTGTGAAGCCCATGGTTAAGCTTGCAGATGGCAAATACGCGGGATGTATGGGGGCTGAATGTGCATGCGCGTGGGTTCAACGGCTCCAGAGAGTTTTAATCGGCGAGACCTTACAGCAGTGAAGTGCAGGTCTTAGATGCGTAGGCGTTGTCGGTGGGGAGCTTTTTATCACAGAGGCAAGATAGTGTTCGGACCTCCGTGTGATGTCCAGCCTCCCGGACTTTGCGCGACCTGCAGTTGCCTAAAGCGGTAGTTTAGCATTTGGCCGTCGATAGTAGTCAGAACTGGCATGACCCCTCCTGTCGCCCACCGTCCCGCGTGCGCCTTACGATGCCCCAGACAAAACAAGGCACTGTACGATCACGGAGGATATGTGCTCAAGGCCTCAGAACTCAATTGGATAAGATGGTACAAGATCTAGAACACTACAAGCACCCCTGTAGCCTGTCAAGGATATATTGCTGGCCCAATCTTGGGGCGGCTAAGCCGACATGGACTGTAGTCAACAGCTGAACGCCGCGGGAAGAGTGGATGAATGTCATACAACTGCTACGTTATTCGGTAGCTTCATGCACATTACGCCAAGATTCTAAGCGGAACGCAGTCGAAATACCTCTGTTCGCATTCCAGGCCTTTTTTGACTAGTATTTGCGGAAACGAGTCGCCTACTTTAGTGGTGGTGTGTCTGCATAACAAGCTGCCATGAACCTCTCAGGATATCTATCGCCTGCTACCACTGCAGCCTCACATGCCTCACGAATCTTCTGCTCCTCATCCTTGCTCAACTGAACATGCAGACTGCCAATATTTTCATCCAGTCTCTCAATTCTCGTGGTACCAGGAATAGGGAAGATGTCGTCTCCCTGCGCCAGAAGCCACGCCAATGTAAGCTGGCCAGGCGTGACACTCTTCTTTTGTGCAATGGATGTGATTTGGTCCACGAGCTTCAGGTTCTTGGGGAAGTTTTCTGCGCTGAAGCGAGGGGCATAGCGGCGGAAGTCGCTCTCGTCAAAATCATCAGGGGACTTGATGGCGCCGGTCAACATGCCACGACTCAATGGCGAATAAGCGACAACCGCGACACCGAGCTCGCGGCATGTCCTGAGGAGATCGATTCGGGCGCTCTCAATGTCGAGTGCGAATGGTGAGTATTCTACCTGCACAGCAGAGATAGGATGGACCCTATGTGCGCGACGAAGTGTATCCGAGGATACTTCTGAGAGACCAAGGTACTTGATCTTGCCTGCTTTCTTGAGTTCGGCCATACCCTCGACTGTTTTTTCAATGGGCGTTTTCTGGTCGACACGGTGGCAGTAGTACAAGTCGACATGCTCAACACCGAGACGCTTTAGACTCTTCTCGATGGCTTGCTTAGCGTACTCTGGAGAGCTGTCAATTGCATGCTCTGGAGTCAACGCGAACTTTGTGGCCAGAAAAATGTCGTTTCGCTTGTCAGGATTGGCTGCGAACCACTTCCCTATCAGGTCTTCGTTGTCGCCGTAGCTAAAAATTGTCAGTTATGACTTGTCGAAAGAGAATCTATGTATAGCCAGGAGCAGAATAGTTACATGTCAGATGAATCCCAGAAACGTTCACCCGCCTTATGAGCGTGATCAAGAACGGCGAGGCGTTCGCTATCAGGCCTTGGGTCGCCATAGAAAGCGGACAGTCCCATCAAGCCGAATCCTAGGCGGTTGACTTGAAGACCTTCACGGCCAAGAGGAGCTGTTGGTAGAGACATTTTATAGAAGATCTCGCTGTGTAGTGGACGGTTGACACAATCGGTTGTGAACGCAGCGCCTGCTCAGTATATAAGCTCCGCATTGATGTCACTTCCCGAATCTCCGCGCTATGTCCAGGACTATTCGTCAGCTTAAGACCGTTAATTCCGCAAGCAAGTGCGGTGGCCTACTCTACTTGTGGTCGGGCGTTATGACATGACGTCGACGGAACACTGCCCCTTTGTGTGCAACATGTTGTAGGCTAACGAAACGGCCAGCTTTGAGTGGGAAAAGTACGGCGATGCATTTCTCTTCTGGAAGCTCCAGCCAACGAGGGATGCCATGTTCTCCGTATGAGCCGTGGCCCATGGGTTCTGATGTTGAAGAAGTTCAGGAAAAGGAGTGCTAACCTGTGGACGTGGGGTCTAATTCGGTGTAGCGTAGCCTCTTGAGCTTATCGATAGGTTGCGACCACTCAGACGTCAGACGTCAGATCATTCTGACCCCGATAGCGCAGCCTTGCAACATCATCGCATTTGTCATGCTGGAGCTACATCGTCGAGATCTGATACTACTACCCATGCTTCCTATGTCCCGATTTGTGTCTTGAATATCATCCACGTAAAGCTCCAATCAACATGCCTGTCGAGATCCACAACCTGCAGCTTCTGGATCTCAAGCCGGTACAACACCAAGTCCACGAATCTATGGCACTAGATCCTTTCGCCTTAAATGGCCACCATGACGATGACAACATCCATATTCTCCTATGCGCATCAGGCTCCGTCGCTACAATCAAGATCCCTAATATCATAAACGCACTCGCAAAGCACAAGAACGTGAGAATCCGCCTCATTTTTACCACAGCGGCGCGCAGCTTCCTTCAAGGCCAGAGCGAGGAGCAACCCTCCATAGAAGATATCGAAGCATACCCAAATGTAGATGCAGTATACTTTGACGAGGACGAGTGGCGCGAGCCGTGGAAGCGGGGCAACAAGATTTTACACATTGAGCTGCGGCGCTGGGCAGATATCATGGTCATCGCACCACTCAGTGCAAATGAGCTTGCGAAAATTACCCAAGGTTGGTCTGACAATTTGCTCCTCTCTGTTGTGCGTGCATGGGACACCACTGGTTTGATCGATCCAGTGAGAGATATACCAGGCGTGCAATGGCCACAGCAGGAGGGCGTACCAAAGAAGAGGATACTCGTTGCGCCGAGCATGAACACGGCAATGTGGTTCCAGCCTATTACGCAAAAGCAGGTGCAGGTATTGAATGAAGAATGGGGACTCAAGAATGGAGGCTGGTTTGAGGTGTTGCAGCCCATGGAGAAAGAGTTGGCATGTGGCGATGTCGGTGGCGGTGCGATGAAGGATTGGAGAGAAATTGTTGGTGCGCTGGAGGAGAGACTGGGTCTAAGCAGTGGTACTGAGGACACGCGTTGATGTACCTCTTACCACATGGAATATTCACTCTGAGCCATGGACCTCCGAACTCATTCAAACTGTACAATATCGAAATCCTGGTTTCGGTGTGGTCAACATCTCCGCGCTCACTATCAAAACAACGTCATTCCCCTCAATTCGCACGCTTGTTACATACTTTGTAGCCCGTCTTTGGATCCTCTGTGTATACATGGTCAATATTTGTACGCAAGTGGAGCGATTTTCGCGCTTGATGCGTTAAGGTTGTACAGTTCTAGCAACCGCTTAGGTGAAAGCCAAAACGACCTCAAGAGCCGTGTTGGGCAAAGATATCAACAATTCTATCTTCATTGGACGATCGGCTCTGCGGTACTACTAGCCTTTCTGTGCAAGGGAACCTTGGTAGATCGACCCACGACTGATTGATGATCAATACGTATATCTAGGCAAAAAAAAAGTGCAAAAGAGCAGTCGACCCGAAGGTCGTGGTAAGGGCCCCGCCACGCCACTTAAGATGGCCGTCTCACACGTTCCGATATGACCTCCCCCCTTTATGTATCGAACCCGGGACCCATTGAATATGAATCTGTGAGCCTCAACCCAACAGGCAAGGATGGCATCACTGGGGTACCCATTGCTGAGGATGTTTTTGATGAAAGAATAATATTTCTTTCAATCTATATACTCCAAGATATCAGACTTTGTGTCTAGGTTGTATTAAGTGATGCGTGATAGGATACGGTTTCGAGCGTTTGTTGTCGCGACTGCCAAAGGCCCTATCACCGAGACAAATTAACAGGCAACGAAAACGAGGCGCGTGCGGCGACAAGCGTCTTATGTTCGCAAACCGCACGTCAATTCCTCATCCATAAACTTGCGCTTCCGCTGGGCCTATCTTCTATTCTGTCACGTCATGTTCCGGCACTCTACAGCCTCAACGAGGGACTCGTCGACCAATTTGACAGTCACGGTACCACCTCAGCCTACTACAATACCGGTAATGTCCAGTGCAGCAACAAAATTCGATAAGACAAGCTCAATGATTACCAGCTTGAAGTCAACGGTATGTGCTGAACCCTTCTTCTCTACCTCTACGCTCAATACTAAGTCTCAGCTCCAGGGCTCACACGCCAAGTCCAAGATTAATGGATTAGGTAACAAGCACGCTGCCAGAGCTACCAAGGCGACATTGAAAAACAGAATAGCCAAATACCAAGAAAACTTGCGGCGCGCCGTCGCCAACCTTACAAACATCGACGAACTACCCCAACCATCAGCGTCGAAACCCACCTCATCCACACCCAACGCAGACGCTTCACCAGCTGCACGACCACACCCGACCCTCACAGCTTGCGACTTCGAACTTGGCGGCTCCCTCGGCCGTGGCAAGTTTGGACGTGCCTCTCTCGCCCGTCACATCAACATAAACTACATCTGCGCCCTCAAGATCATCTCAAAAGCGCAATGCGCATCTGCCTCCGAAGAAAAGTTGATCCGACGCGAATTAGAGATCCATCAAAACCTTGCTCACAAGAACATCCTTAAGCTTGTCTCATGGTTCCACGACGACAAGAGTATATACTTAGTCCTTGAATACGCAGCAGGCGGTAGTCTCTACTCACGGTTGAAGAAGCAACCCAAAGGCCGATTCGACGAAAAGACCACCGCAACCTTCATCGTACAAATCGCCCTAGCACTGCGCTACATGCACTCCAAGAACATCATCCATAGAGACATCAAGCCTGAAAATAACCTCCTAGGTCTACAGTCTGACATCAAACTTGCAGACTTCGGGTACCGGTACAGTGTGCACTCTGAGTCTGGTCTGCGGTCTACCGTCTGCGGCACACTAGACTACCTGTCCCCTGAAGTCGCGCTCATGCTGTTAAAGCCAGGAAAGAGCGAAGAGTACTATACCAAAGCGATTGATCAGTGGAGTTTGGGTGTTCTGACGCATGAGCTGCTCACGGGGAGACCACCGTTTGAGACAAAGAGTGGTAAAGCGAAGCGGAAGAAGATTGCGAGGTTCAATGGAAAGGGGTTGAAGTTTCCGGGACACATCAGTCAGGGGACTGAAGAGCATATCAAAGAGGTAAGGGCTTCGGACCAGGAAAAATTACCTACCTGCTTGGATAATCCACTGCTTCTGACTAATGGAGAGAACAGCTGCTCAACCTTGATGCGGAGAAGCGAATCAGCCTAAACGATGTGCTAAGACACCCGTGGATTGTAAGGAATGTTGCCAAGTCTGGTTAGCCAGGCTTGCAATGATATGAGTAGGTGCGCAAGAGGGTTGGCTCCGTGATCGAATTGCGCGACGATGATTTAGGCCGCCTCATAGATAGGCTTGCATCGCTCGCAGCATGTCTACATGAACATGCTCAGTCATCCCTGCACTTATTCCCTGTAATAATTGGCCGGATATTAAATTGACCTTCGGACGGAAAGTTGATTGAGTTTGTAGTTCAAAGTGGATTACCCAAACGGGTAAGCTGAGTATCATTGCTTACACCCCGACGATCGATCCGCTCCCCTAAGGTATGGCTCGAAGGATTCTTGTCATCTCTAATCATCTCAAGTACATGCTTAGATCTGTGTTTTGCTTGTTGTGTCGACAAAGAGTAGTCAGGTTAGTACGGATTCTAGAAAGAGTGGGATATAACCCGTGAGCTATGGGTAATTTGATGCACAGCAGCGCATGGTTCAGGTGCAACAGAAACAAGAGGTGGCTCTTTGATAGCCCGTGAGGAACTGTCTAATTCGCACCATGATGAGCCCGTAAGCGATGACACTCGTTTGGTCGCAGATACCGGTATGCTCCGCGATTAGATATCTGGACTCCTTGTCCTCGCGAACAACTACTGCTACCATAGATTATCATCATAAATTATCATCGGCTTGTTCCGCAACACCGTAACTAATTGCTCAAGTAAGTTGTGTGATTACTCAAAGATCTACCCATGACAACAGCTGCCTCCAACATTCGGACCGAGTGCTTAGCCGCATTGCACGGCTTATCTGAACGTCAATCCGACTCACCACAATCAATCACTTTCAATTATCAATACATTATCGCCCTTCTTTTCAGGCCCAGGGGATGTTGAATGGAATATACGGTCCTTTCATGTATTGCCTGGGGCTTAGTCGCACACCCGATGGAAGCGGCTGAAAAGTTCGTCAGCACGGAAGGCTTGAATCCTTTCGGAAGTCCTGATGTAGCTGGTGGTGGCTATGGAGAAGCGGTGGCGCTCCTTGGCGAATGATCTTGTGGCTGGTTCGTTGGACTTGGATTTGATACAAGTGCTGTGCTACGTAGGGGCTGCTTGGGCGGCCTGGCTGTCTGGAGTGATGACTCTGGTGACCAAGGTCATTTGGGAGAGTGATGCAGTCAGAAACCTTCCAATTACCACCCAATATTCTAGTTAGACCCAGGTATTGATTCATTACTTGTCGTTCGTTGGATACAGTCGAGTCATAACTAATCCCTTTGGCAGTGCGGCTGAGTTGCTGCGCTGTCAAACCTTGTTTCAGACTATTGTGAGAAGTCTCGCTCACCGGTGAAACAATGTAGCTAAAGCTGACTGCAGGGGCTATTTGTTTGTTCTCCTGAATATAGACAGACGTACAATCTTTCATCTGATAGATGGCCTCGAAAACCAGCTTTGATTATCCTGCAGAGGACACGATAGGGTATGTCTCTGCTGGCAATGCCTTCTCCTGCAACCTACCGGTACGCGCATTGTAATGCGAAAGCTGGAGCTTATGCATGTGAAGCTGCTTTGGAGAGCGTCCATCCCTTCTCTCTCAGCCTATTTTCCAACAATACCCCAATAGAGAATATTGAAGGCTTTCTTTGATGCGCCCGGTGTAGGCCGTGTAGTCAAACATGGGTCGTTTACCGAGAGCCCCACCCTCAGCTTTCCGGGAACGGAAGTGACAGTGGCATCTTCCCAAAACATCAACTTGTGCCTCACGCAAGCATCCTCAACAGCTGTTAGCTACACACATCTGCCTACAGAGTCAAGAAACCGAGAAAATCGAAAAAGCCTTCTTCTTGCCATGTAACCTTTGCCCCGATCTACGGATGTTACCTATCACGAATCCCTGCACCGGTCAGGCGGCCGCTGTTGTGGTTCTTTGCTGGCCAACGCGCCTGTACGGTAACAATGGCTTCCTGTACTCATCCGACGTGCTTGAACTCATTTGTTCTCGCGCTGCAGCTAAATCAACTACAGACTGTGCAGAGCAAAATGTTAGTGCAAAGGGTTGGGCAGATGCATTTGTATTTCTTGTTTGCAATTGGACAGGCAATCCACCAGCCTCAATCCACTCCTAGGCTGTGTTCAATTACACTCAGGTTATCCATCGTTTAATAGGTCTGCGACCGGCGTAGCGCCACCCTTGTGCGGCTCGGGCGTCCAGGATACTAAGCAAAAAGAGTAACAAACTGCTACATGCTCGCAACATAGGCTTTGCCTACTAGGTACCTATGTATATGAGATGGGCGCATCCTCGGGTCTCCAAGTGGAGGTCACACGAGCCTTAGTGGAACATCTTCTAGGGACACCAGGACTGTACCGGTATCCCTGACAGCATCCATTGTTCCTCCTCTTCATTCTTATTCATCCATAGCCTCTCCCACCTAGTGACTTTTCTCCCCTCATTGTACCGTCGCACTCAAAAAGAGGTTCAACGCGGGACCATGTACATGACATACAAACGTACTCTTATCCTGGCCTTGGCGACTCTGACTACAGCTCAAACGTCGACTACCAATGAGCCTTGTGCAGTCGTCGCTTCGAGCCTCAGCCTCAGCTCCTCCTCTGTTCCAGCCCAGGCAGCATATGACTGTCTAGAATCTGTCCCTGTGGACGTGGAGGGAGACTCACAGCTTATTGACGAACTCAAAATCGTATGGCAGTTCCAGTCTGAGCTTGGATGGTACAAGAATCCAGGCGAGGACTGGCCATATGGGCCTCTGGATGTTGAGGGGGAACTGGACAAGATTAAGAATAGTCTCAGCTCCTTCTCTAGCGAGTACGCCGTTCAATTGGCCATCCAGAACATCACAGTGCGCTCCGGCAATTTCCATTGGAACCACAGGCCCGACATCCTGCGAGTTTTCACGTTCCGCCGGCAGTTCAGAATAGCATCAGTTTCATCAGATGGCAAAGCTCTTCCAAAGCTATACATCTATGAGGATGTCGAGGCGCTTGCTGAAGGTAGCCCAGATGTCTCAGAGATCAGCGAAATCAATGGACAGAAGCCATACGATTACCTCAGATCGATTTTCTACTCACAGTTCATTGATTACGATGGGAAAATGAACTATATGCTCACCAAAGGCGACACCTCGCAAGAAGGCGCATTCACAGTCCAGCCGAAATTCGAGGGTAACAGCACTGATATTACCTGGGCCAACGGTACGACGGCTTCTGCCATCAATTTCGCGACAACAGAACATACTTCAGAGTTTTCTAACGTCACTGACGGCACCTCTTTTTTCGAGACTTTTTGTACGGGCGCTGTGAGTGGGGTTCAGACTCTCGAAGGCAACGCTAAGACAGCTGTGATTCCTCCTGCTCGCCTTGGGCCGATTCCGAATACTCCAACTGGCACTTATCACCGTCGGAACAAGCGCCAAAGCATTCCTAACAACACACCTTATCCTTCTGCGGTCGTTGAGATATCGACCGGTGGTCTTTCTGGTTACTTCTTGACTGGAAATGGATATGAAGACATTGCGGTACTCAAGATTCTTTTATTTTACGACCCTCAATCGCGCAACGAGACCGAATTTAATCACGAATTCCAGGCTGCTATCAAGTCCTTTATCAGCCAATGTATCAGCGAAAATAAGAAAAAGCTCATCATCGATCTCCGCGAGAATGGCGGTGGTGCCACAAACCTTCTGATAGATACGTTCATGCAGCTGTTTCCTACTTTGGATCCTTTCTCTGGTCAGCGTTATCGCGCTAACGACGCATGGAACAAGATTGGGAGTGCTGTCGACGAGGTCTACAGCAGCCCTGATTTTGCCAAAGAATATCAAGATCCTGCAGGAGAAGCCATGGAAAATTCGAACGTTTTTCGCTTCTGGTCTTGGTGGCAATTCAGGACTGCAGAGGGCGAAAATTTCAACAGTTGGGACCAATTCAATGGACCTCTTGACCTCAACTCTGACAAGCTCACCGCGACAATGCGGTATAACGTAAGTCTCGTCTCGTCCTTACCAAACCTTCTTTCTTTTACTAACAACTGAAATAGTACTCTGATTCCAATCAAGTCTCAATCCGACCTGAAGGCTTCGACTTTGTCACTGGTGACCGACCGAGCCCGTTCAATGCATCTAATGTTGTCATGTTCACGGACGCGCTCTGCGGCTCCTCCTGCGCCTCATTCCACGAGGAGCTTAAGAACATTGCCGGCGTAAAGGCTGTCACCGTGGGTGGCTTGCCAGAAAACAAGCCCATACAAACCGTAACCGGCAGCAAGGGCGGCGAAGTCATTCCACTCTTCAATTTTCCACTCTTCGCCATGGTGACCCTCGACATGACCTCTCAGCTCAACCTGTCTTCCATAGAGGAGGATGACGACAGTCTGTTTGCTCTTGCCAACGCCGAGCAGGTTAAGACCCGTGTCGGTGATAGTCTCTCGCGTATCCAGTCGCAAGACCAAATCCGGAAAGGCGACAAGACCGCCACACCCCTCCAATTCATCTACGAAGCCGCTGATTGCAGAATATTTTATACTGCAGAGACTTTTGCGGATCCAGATGCGGCGTGGAAGCAAGCGTGGGATGCATTCCAGGACGACTCAAAGTGTGTAGAGGGCTCGACTGGACACAAGAGTTCGATCTCTGGGGGTTACAAGCCATATGGCGCGGGGCCATTGAAGGCTGAGGATCAACCTGCTAAGCTGCCGACTGGATATGGAAATGGCAATGGTAACAAAAGTGGAGGTGGAGGTGGGAAGAATTCGGGCGCATCTGTGAATGTAAAGGCCAGCACGGCGTTGTTTGCTATTGCTGCTGTTGCCTTGGTGATGATTATGATGTAGATGAGTGATTAAGAGAAGAATATATACCACATGAATCACTGAGGATGTATCATTTCCTAATAAAGGGGCGTTGTATAGTGACTTGTCTATGAAGCTAGACGTACGACTTACTCCAACTTACACATGGTGAAACAGCTTCGCACTTCGATCACGCTTATCTAGGATATGTTTTTGTTCATTTCGTTCAGCATTTCCTTCAAATGACAAATTTTATCAGCACACACCGTCTCCACCAATTCGGCGACTCAAATCCCTTCTTTCGGCCTTCCATGATACTAACAGTCTGGAGGTCATTGATGAAGCGTTTAACATCATGCTGAAAAACACATCTGTACAAGATGTAATTGTCGAAAAGGGCTCATGAGGTTGTGATCTTCTCTTTACAAGACCTAACATAGGTATTCTAGCATCATTATCTCGCACCTGACTTTCATCGTTTACGCGCTCAAGTACTATTGGCTCATCAACGTGAGATGTAATTGCGGGGATTAGGTATGATGTTGTGTGAGGCCATAATGAAGTGGTGTTGTATTAACAGACCTTGGGCATATCCGGTTGAAGGTTCATGGGCATTCGCTGATTCCTTGGATGAAATAGCTGGTACACTGCTACCTCTGTAGCCCTCCTTTTTTCATATTATTAAAGCCTTCGGTACCAAGGCCGCCTATATGATACCCTTGACATCAAACGATGCTAGAACATTTCTCCCACCAAGCAAAACGCCCTCAGCCAGGCCTCAAGACGACATCGCCAACACAAAGCACGACGTTTTTGAAAAACCGTCTCCACTCCAATGGGTCACCACTCGCCTTCACGAACCTCACCTCATTGTACCCTTGCCCGTCATACACTGCCTGCTCAATCACAACATGTCCATTGAGCCCCTGGCGCCGCCCATCCGCCATCTTGACACGGATACTCACGCTCCCGCTAGCTTCCGCCTCGACAATCTGGTCTTGTGTGAACAGCGGTGCAGGAACGCCTAAACGGTGCAGGGATTCGAGCAGCAAGGGAATGAGGAGACTGAGCGCATGAGGCGATATGAAGCGCGCCATGGAATACGAAGGCAAAACATCTGCGAATTTCCGCGCCGCTTGCGTAAAGGTGAGAGGCACGCCGGGGGTCAGGGAGAATTGCGTCATGCTGGGGTCATGGGAGAGCATGTCTTGTGTGGAAGGGGGTAGTTGTGACATCAGGGGTGTTGATGACAGGTAGAGTGTTTTGCGCTGGAGGTTGTCTGTGGGCTGGGAGGCAGAGAGACCGTCGTGCGAGGCGAGGCGGGGTGGACGTTCCCAGTCGAATGGGGTATCTGCGACGGGGGTTTCGGGCTGGGTGGAAGAAAGGAGGGTGATGGCGCTGGAGCGGTGAGGGTCCGAGTCGATGTCCATGGGGTCTTCTTGGGAGAAACCGCGCTGGGATGGGGTGGGTACGTGGGTGAAGTCGATGCGTAGTTGGGATAGCATTTGTGTGGCCAGGCCGACGGGGTTGGCGTTGTGGCCGCTCGGGGTGAGGTATGGGTTCGGTCGGGTGAACCAGGGGTGACGACGCACTTCGTCGAGAGTGAAGCGTTCTGTGGGATCAATCTTCAGCATGCCTCGAAGCAGGCTGATGATGGCAGGTGGAAGCTTTTGCCATAGTTCGTCGGTAGTGTGTCCGCCGGTCTCGACATATTCCTTATACTCCTCGCTCCGCAGCGTTGGCTCGTCCCATGGCGTATTTCCCACCAACAACACGAACAGCACGACACCGCAGCTCCAGACATCGCAGATGTTTGCCGCATAGCCCACGTCTAACACATCAGCTCTTTTACTTCGCCTCCCACTCACAATCTCTGGCGCAATGTATGGCGGACTTCCACACACGGTATTGCACAATCTCAACTGGCCATCCTTCTTGAACAGCGCGGCGAGCCCAAAATCACTAAGCTTCAAGTCTCCCTCGGCGCTCAACAGCACATTCTCAGGCTTGATGTCGCGATGCGCAACGCCCTTTGAATGCATATACGACACAGCACTGACCAACTGACTGAAGTACAGATGCGCAATGTCCTCGCCCACGCCCTCGTCGGCCTCTATCTTATCGAACAAGTCTCCACCCTCGGCTAACTCCATGGCGATCCATGTCCAAAGCGCATCTTCGCCGGAACCAAGCAGGTGGATGATGTTGGCGTGCTTACCGAGGTGTTTGTGAAGTATGATTTCCGTCTTGATCTGTTTGGGTGTGAGCCGGCCTTGCTTAAAGGCATGTTCTTTGTTGATGAACTTGATCGCAATGATTGGTTTCGGCGCATTGATGGGGACTGCTTTGCGGATACTGAGGAAGCTTGTCAGATCCTATCACAAAGTATACGATGCGATGCGACGCGACTTGACTCACGAAGCATATGCGCCTTGTCCGATGGTTTTGCTGACGAGCCGAAAAGGCAGATTGGACGGTAGTGGGGCAACCTGACTCCCAGGCGGCGCGGGCGCCATTGTCGCTGCACTTTGATTCAAGCGATCCTTTTTGAGATGATTGCAAACGTCGTTTCATCAAAGGTTCTGGGTGACTCCCAAATCTTCCAATGTCAGTTGTTGATAAATTCTGCTGCTGCCTTACCGGTATCCGTCGCGCCTCGACGCGTCCCCGTTCCGAAAACACGCGCACGAGCCACATTTCCCACGCGACACTCCCCGCAGCCGCCACGCCAACTCACGTGGCCGCGCGATGCAAATCGTTTCGCTGGTCCCAAACTGTCACATGCTTGATAAGGTTAGATATGTACATCATCTCGTGGCCTCATCTTCATCTCCCCGACTGTCCCAACGTGGACAAGAGATACCATGCTACCATGCAACGGGATGACGAGGGAACCATGAGTATGTACCTACCTCGCCAATGCCGATACAGTCTTACATCTTTCACTCCTTCATCGTACGATACGGGGCTTACTCGCCAACACGGAGTTTACTTATCTCGTGTGCAAGTGTCCCCCTTTAGCGTCTGTAAGCCGGCAACATGCCTGCATATACTTATCTGCGACTTTGCGGAACTTGGCCAAGGAATAAGTGGGTGAATGACATTTAAACCTAGGGAAAAAGTTTATGCACCTATGTTAACCGAGAACAGAATATTCATGTCACGCGTCAATAATCTGGCAAAGGCTAGTGGTATCAATGGCGGATAGAAGCGACTGCAGATGTCACAGCCGACGTACAGTACACACTCCAAGATCCTAAATTCGTATTCTGCAACGACGGCTCGGAAGATATCTCCGATTGAGAGTTACACTCGTTATTGAAGGACAGTGCATTGATCTGCTGGCGTCGGACGAATGATCTACTTTCTTCCGCATGTTGCAACGGCCCGTGGGCCCTGTGACTATCTGTCCTCGTTCAGGAACTTCAGAGGTTGCTGTCAGGGCGTCGGGGTACTATCTCCGTTGGTGCACATCAGCCGAGGCGTGGACCATGTTGCTGGAAACCGCGTGCACTGTCAGATCTCAGAACCTGGGTTTCCATGTGGTTGTGCAAAGAGCCATAAATTTCAGATTTCAGGAACCCTGAGGGCTCATGACATGGACCAGGGAATCGGATCTATATGTCGATCCGAGGTTTATAAGCAGATGGTAAGCAGATCATTTTCACCTCGAACGATCTTGGGCTGTGTATTTGCCACGGTGCCTGCCTTGGTATGTTAGCGACTATGAATACCAAGACACAGAGGACACGCAACGTCTCGTGTTTCAAGTCTAACGATCAATGGAATCAATGGGTGGGGTCATTTTTCAATTCTTCGATACCTAGCACAGTACTCCGATCCGAAAATGGAGAGGTCGCTTTCTCGAACGAGTAGTACGCGTACATCAAATTGGTCAGCAAAGGCTGATCACAGCACCAGAATGGACATCGGTCACGCGAACGAAAAACACTTTGTTAGTGTTCTTCGTCAGACTACGTTTCAAAATGTTGTAGACCATCCTTCCGCATATTCCGTAAGTACTTTAGAGCTATCGAGATTAGACTACTATGCCGTGAGCATAGACACTGCTTGAATTACCACATGTAGTAGTACAAGACCCACATCGCAAGACCCCCGTATTCCGAATCTAGATCATCCAATACATGTCCATCACCAGTACACAACACAGTTCCAGCCTCAACACCGGCCGCATCCAGCTCAATATCCGTCTACTGTACATCACACAAGCCATCTCCGTCCGGGACGGTCCCTCTCCGCCTTCACCCCCCATCCCGTTACGATCCCCCGGTCCATGCCCCCCAGAATCCCCCACACAGCCCAAACCCCCAACTCCCAATGTCCGCATCTACATCCGATCCGTCCACCGCGCATCTCCGCCCACCACCCCGCCCAGCAATTGCCCCCAACCAAGCCAACCTAAACCAAACCTCGTCTCCTAAAACTCTTCATCACACAGGCATGAATATGTCTCGGACCCTCTACCCCACCCCAGACTTGACCCAATCACAAACACCGGATCGTAACCCGAACATCTATTCATACTCATGCTTCCTCTCCCACCTCTCCAAACACAGGTCCTAGGTATCTATAAAGTTTCAAAACATGACACGGTGCAGCTCCCCCCTCCCCCACTACCCCAGTCTATCCAAGCCAGACAAGGCAACAAGACACGCGCCAAAAAAAAAACACAAGTCCTTCCCAAGATCAAGCTGCACAGGTGATGATCGTAACATGTACCGCGGTACACAGGGTATAACAGCCAGCCACGCGAGACTCCCACACTAACATAAGGTCTCACGCAGCATGTAGTCCCCCGTACCTTGTACGTGTGCAGTGCAAGCAACGGCAGAAGGAAGCAAAACCAAACGCCAACACTGCACGGCAACAACACCTCCACAAAACCAGGAAGCCCAGTCTACCCCATCCCCATATGTATGACCTCTTGGCAGGTATAGCAAGCTTACCTACTGTACCTACAATCGCTTGAATGTGGAAACACCCACGCGAGACAAAGTGGGCCTGGCACGTTTTGACGGGGTGTGGGGTAGAGGTGGTCCGATTGTATGTGTTTGTATGTACTGCGATTTGTTATAGTGTGGTGCTCGCACATACATGCACACATAAACATGATATGGCATGACATGGCATGAAGGCATAACTACACCCCATTTTAACCCTCCATCCCATTCCCCAACCCCGCCTCAAGCAAACATCCAGCAAGTGCCCGAAAGGCATCGGCATGATAACGGGACGATGAAACCAAGGATCATGGATTTCCAAAATCTTGCAAGTTTGGGAGACGAAGACAGGACTTGGGGCGAAGTGGAGTGCAACGTAGTGTAGTATAGTACATCACAGTACATCACACTAGAATCCTTTCTCCCGAGCTTTTGATACTAGCACTACAAGTGTAATGACACTACCAACATATATACACAAGCATTCCGTCCCCTCCGCCACCCGCAACAAACCCAAGCGCCTCATCAGAGGCATTTGCGTTTCGGCCCGTTGCCGTTTCCTCTTCGGGCCGCGAGGCAGACGGATGGGTGAGCGGCGGGTAGTCAGAGTGAGAAGATGAGAAAGATGAGATGAGATGAGAAAAGAAAAGAAGAAGCCTATCATTTGGACGGCAGGGCGGCGGGGACGGCGGCCTTCCTTCCTTTGTTCTAGAAGGGGGCGGGAGAGGGGGTAATCTTTGCTTATACTAGGAGGAGGAGGGGTTTGTAGAGGGTTTGACAGAAGGCGGGGGCGGGTTGGGCTGGCAAGAAGGAGAGGATTTGATTAATTCTCCGCTGTGGCAGAGGGTGGTTTCGCGTGTGTTGATTGTGCGTAGTTGAATCGAGCAAGTGTGGCTGGGTATTTTTAGGGCCAAAAAAAAGAAGAAGAGAAGGGAGGGATGTGAAGATCTAGAGGGGTCGAAGCCTGTGATCGGATCAGATTTGAGCGGAGCAAGGTTCATGGGTTGGGTTCAAAATAGCCATTGATTGTAGTGCCCTATTGAGTGGACGGAGGAGGGTATCTTTGGAGATAAGCTCGTATTATCTAGGGGTAGAACGTCCGAACAGACACCTACTCCTCATCCATGCCGCCCGCTAGACACCCAAAAACCATCGTCCATTCTTAGCGAGAACTAAACCGAAAAAAAAGTGTCTATCCAAGCTTCGTATGATCCCTGAATATGGTTTGGTCGTCGTAAGCTCAATGGTCGCGCGTGTGTACAGCTGCCCAAAATAACCCCTGGATTCATGCCTTGATCAACCCGACCGCTATAGGCTATCCAAGTAACCCATGCATTGCCATCTTGGCGATCGTCATGACAGTTGCGTGGCTTTTTCACCTCGTCAACCATCAGGCATTTCCAAATCCGTGCCGTAATCGAAAAAATGTTTCCACATACCCAAGAGAGGCCAGGAGCAATACCGGGTCGAGCTCCCGATTAAATTCAAAGGAGTTGGCGACGCCGTCCATTGTGACGCGTTATGCTGTACACCGGACAGCAGAGTTTGCCGTGAGAGAAGCCAAAATCGAGCGACCCTGAGAAGTGAAAGAGAATAAAACATAGAAGATGAATCAAAATCCACAGACGGCCACCCTAATGCTGATGGCTTTGACCTGGCCGATATAACGCCGTAATCTAGTGCAAATGCATGAGGTTAAATGTCGGGGAGAATAAAGCCTGTGAACCAGACAGAAACGAATCCAAGGTAGAGAGATATCCGAAGTCAGTCTTGTTGCCCCAATGGTTTCAAAGCGTTTGGTTCACTGCTTGTACGTGTTCAAGCAATTTGCGTTGGCCGTGATGATACGGGAGATGCGGCGACGTAGGACTGTGCAGCGGCAGCATCCAGGCCTCGGAGCTGAGGTGCGTACTTAGGGTGCTTGATGAACTTGGGTACAGAGTCCTGGTGAAGGTTAGAGCATATTCTGCAGTCGATATCGTTGGAGACGTACACTTGACATCAGCTTGAAGATTGAATTCTGGGCCTTCTCAAAAAGAGAAGCGACTTCATTCAGACTTTGCAGCATGGCAGCATCGTCGCCGACTGCACGAGTCATCCGTGTAGCTAGTTGCGTGCGGAGACCGTGGTCGATGTTGAGCTCATTTGGCGATCCTGGTGCTAAGAAAGCGTTGTACAAACCTGTGTTTGTCAGCAGCTGTGTCAAGAGCTAGGAGCGTGTTTACTGACCATACGCAGCAGCGAGCGTCTCACGAATTGTCTCCACCTTGTTCTCGCCCTTGTCGTTGATTGCTTGGCGATATTGTCTATTGAACTCTTGCACTTCGAGGTAGAATGACAAGTTCTCCTCACACATGGTCTCCTTCAAGAATTCGCGATACAAGAGTCGCCAGGATGGATTGCGGATAATGACGTTGGTGCGATTACTATTCGAGTCACGAGTGACACCGTCTCTTGACTTGGTTACCACTTCATTGGCAGTGGGGATATCTTCTATCGTCCATCCAGCTACACGCTCACCGTGCGGAGTGATGAAGTAGTGCACATTCTTGACAGGCAGGAAAGTATGCTCCGAGTTGCGAGGATCAACAGGAGCAATGAGCTTGAGCTGCAAGAAAAGCGAGCCGATTTCGACAGATTCTCGTGGGTCGACCATGGTGGTACAGTCCATCAGCCACTGGGCAGCATTGCGTCCATGGAATGTGTATTCGAATTGGCGGCTGCTCGTAGGTCGGTGCTTGACAAGTTTGACGCCTACGTCACACTTGGAAAACTCATGAATGGAGTCGGCATCAGAGGAAGCCTCATTCGCGGTTGTACCAACGAAGCGACGGAAGAGAATCTCCACGGTTTGCTCATCATGATGCAGCTTGTCGTTTTCCAAGTTGCGCTCGAGAATGACGAGTTGGTGCGGGTTTCTCTGGGAATCAATCACGGCCTTTACATGGGCAGACTGGATACCATTGCGTGTACAGAAGCGCTCCAGGATATGGATACCCTTGGGCGTTAATTGCCAGACTGAACTCTTGTTGGTGAAGTCGGTTTTGCCTTCAACGGACTCAATGAATTTCGCTTCGAGGAACTTTTGGCACACGGAGCGAGCCATCTCTTTAGCCATGGAGAAGGTGGTGGTCGTGGTGGTAGTGACAACACGTGATGCATCCTTGGGGTCGGGCATGCGATTTGATTGGGAGAATTTGAGCGACCCCAGATTTGTAATGGCCTCGTCAGAGGTGAAGGTATAGTCGATCATCCTGAAGCGCACACGGTGGGGTGTGAGAGGTAGCGAGACCATGAGGGTAGAGAAGAGATCCTTGAAGTCCTGATTCTTGGGTTAGATACGAGTCTCGAGCGAGGTATTGCCTCCTGTCATCCACGTGGGAAGCTCAAGAGAGAGCAATACAGAATCGCTAGAAGTTTGAAACCGAGCCTAATCGAATACTCTTGCAAGGGGGTGAGCGGCAAGCTTCCATTGACACAGATCAACACGTGAATGTGAAGGCCAACACGCACCACTCGTCGCCACGCCAAAAGTAATGCATTCCAGCGTAGAGAGCCTTTGGGACAAACATATCAAGGGCGTCTTGGCAGTCAATTGAAATGATTGAAAATCGTGTCCCTGCTGTAGCTCACCCACTCACCCACCCTTTCGCCTCCGACACGCCCACGCTTCTGACAACTGGGGAAACAGATGCGGCGAAAAAAGAAAGAAAGTCCAGACTCACCCTCGTGTACGGCCTTTCATCATCCGTCATGCGCAATAAGCGCGAACTGGTTTGATGCATCTTGTCGAGTTGCTTGGTGGGCACAGATTGCGTCGGTTCCACCTCTTCGCTGATGACGTTGGGCTCGCGGGCGTCGGCGACGGAGCTGCGGACGAGCGGCGAATCGTCAGGACCACGTGAGATGGAGACGGAGGGCCTGGGGGCACCGGTGGCGAGGAAGGGGGACTCGACAGGAATGTTGTTGTTGTTGTTGTTGTTGTTGCTGCTGTTGCCCTTTGTGTTGGTTGACGGCCAGCGGACAAGCTCGCGGCTGCCTTTACGGAGGAGGGGAAAGCGCGAGAGGGTGTAGCGCCTGCCGGAGTGGGCGGAGCGCAAGGAAGGTGCAGACGGGGTGGTGCTCTTGCCAGCACTGGGGGTGAGGGGAAGAGCGTCTGGGTCAGCGTAAGGTGCTCGGTTGGGCCTCTGGTAGCGCTGGTCGTGATAGACGTCGTCGGTGGAGGGGAGGGGCTCGTTTTGGTGGTCGCCGCTTGTGGGTAGACGGTGCAGGGAGGAGGAGGAATCGTCGAGGGTGACAGCAGAGGCAGCAGCAGCAGGAGCAGCAGGAGCAGCAACAGCAGCAGCAGCAGCAGAGACAGATAGAGGAATGAAGGGAGGCAGCGTCTCAAGGGACATGGCCGTCAGAGTAGTAGGATGCTGGCGGAGGAGCAGCCTGCGACCTCGCTGAAGGGCGAAGTGTGGGTACCCTAGCCAGGATAGGCCTTCCAGCTTTCTTTGGTGCGCTGCCTGGGGGTCCGTGGCCAGTGCAGACTTGCAGACTGGACTGAGTCTTCTGCCGCCCAAGCAGCGCATGCCCAGCAAGCACACACACACCACATACCACACACCACACACACACCGCCCCGCCCGCCCGTCCACCGCCCACCGAAGACAGCCAGCATCCATGGGC